GTGTGTGTATATATATATATATATATATATATATATATATATATATACATTTATATATACACCAAAGTTCTTTATCCAGTCATCTGCAATAGACATTTAGGTTGCTTCCAAAGCACTGCAATGAACACTGGGGTGCATGTATCATTTCAAATTAGAGATTTCTCGAGATATATGCCCAGGAGGGGGATTGTTGGATCATATGGTGATCATATTTTTTGTAAGAAGCATCACCGTCTACCTAGTTTCCAAGTTCCTTCCACTGAACAATGATGTCTTTCAAATTTAGGTATTGTCCAGACTCCATTATCTAAGCATAGAGCTGAGGAGCCAGTAAAAGACGCTATGCTCACAATGGCAAGGAATCAATGCAAAACAAAGAGAACTAGTGGAATGTAAAGTGCTATGGATAAGATTGATCAGTATATAATGATGGCTAGAGGATGAATTGATGTTTTTGTTTTCTTCAGATATAGATCCAGGGGTGGAAATGTTGGATCGTGTGGTAGTTCTATTTTTAATGTTTTGAGGAATCTCCATATTGTTTTCCCTAGTGGCTGCACCGATTTACACCAACAGTGTACAAGTGTTCTCCTTTCTCCATACCCTCGTCAACATTTGTTATTTGCGGTTTTTTTTTTTTTTTTGTATGATAGCCGTTCTGAAAAGAGTGAGGTGATATATCATGGTGGTTTTTATCTGCATTTCTCTATGTTGAGCATCTTTCCACGTGCCTGTTAGCCATCGGTATATCTTGTTTGGAAAATGTCTATTCAAGTCTTCTGCCTTTTTAAAAATCAGGGTTTGGGTTTTTTATTTTTTTTATATTCAGTTGTATGAGTTGTTTACGTATTTTGGCTATTAACCCCTTATCCATCATAAATATTTTGCAAATATTTTCTCCCATTCAAAAGGTTGTCATTTAGTTGATGGTTTCCTTTGCTGTGCAGAAGTTCCCACTTTTAAGAGCATCCAGAATAACTTATGCTTAATTCTGATATAATAATAGTGATACCATTTATTATTGTTTCTATACACTTATATTAATTGCCTTTGTGTTAGGTGTTATACTTAATGACCAAAATAAGGCACAGAAGTTAAGTGGCTTGTTGAAAGTCACTAGACAAGAGAATGTTGATTCAGGATTTGAATCAATCAGTCTTTCTCCATAATCCTTTATTTTAATCTGGATATTTTATTATCCTGATTGGATGATTATACATTTCAAAATAAATTTTCTTACACTCATCCTATGTCTCCTCCTTGTGGCCATATTCTTCCTTCTGCTTTTATCTTTTCTTTAGGTCTTTGATAACCCTGGATTTAATTTTTATTTTTTTCCATTCCTTTTTGTAAATAACTTTAAATTTATTCCTATGCTGCCCATTGTCTGAATAGTATCCAATACAAACCCCTTTAAAAGTGTGCTCTGAAATAGGCACAGAATATGGAAATGGAATAGTCACTGAAGAAAATGGAACGAGAGTGCAACTTCCCATCACGTAAACTCATTATCTCTTCATGTATCCCAGGTGAACAATACTTCCATGTTTAATACCTGTGTTCCCTTATTTTCTGCAATGAACAGTATTTTCTGATGGATTTTATTCATGAGAAAGCAGCAAGGGAAGTCAAAGGTGACTCTAAGTTTTGGACTGATGATAAGTATGAAGTTTCCATTTACTGAAATGGAGAAGTGTACAGTGAAATGATTAGAAAGGGGCTGTTCATTTTTTTTTTTTGATTTGTTAAGTCTGAAAATTCTATAACATATTAAATCAATATGCCAAGTCTCCATTCAGACGTGAACCTGGTGATCAAATCCTAGAGTGAATATGCATCTTTGGAGGCTATCTATGTATGGCTGTTACTTGAAGCCCTGAATCTAGAAGACTCATCCAGGGATGAGTATAAACAGAAGAAGACAGAGGGTCAAATACTGGACTCTGGGGCTCAGCAGCATTTTGCAGTCAGACGAGGAAGGATCCGCAAATCTGATGGAAGATTAGATAGTGAAGCAAAAGGAAACCGAGATAATGGTGTCCTAGAGAGTAGAGTATTCTGAAGAAGAATTTTAAGTTAAAGGGAATAATTAGTTATGTCAAATGCTGTTTGTAGTTGAGTTAAATGAATCCTGAGAAATAGGCATCGGATGCATTAAATGTGGAGGTAAATGGTGAATAGAAATAGTAAGGGAAAAGCCTGATTAGAGTGGGCTCAGGAAATGCAGGAAGAAATTGACACATTGCAACTAATTATACCTCAAATTTAAAAAAAAAGTAGAAAGAGCCAGTAGGTACAGACAACCTTTGAACACCTTTGCTGCTAAGAGAATTAAAGAAATGGAGTAATAGGGTGTGTTTGGGGGGGGGATTGTGGGGGAGCAGTAAACAAAATTTTTTTGCTTATTTTTTAACGAAGATATTACATCATGTTTGTGGGTTAAGGTAAGTGAACCATTAGAGATAAAAAAATGAGGATTCCAGAGAGAAAAAGAGAGAAATTTAGAAGGTAAGAATGTTTGAGTAAGTAGATGGAATGGATTCTAATGTTAGATGGAGACTAACCATAGGTAAGAGTATATAGAATTATTTTCTTTTTTATTATTGAAGTTTAGTCAGTTTACATTGTTGTGGGTTTTTTTTTTTGAGTATGTAGAATTTCACCATAGAAAATGGTTGAAAATTATATTATTTTACATATAGATGTAAAATGTTTTTTGTATATTTAGTCAGTGGAGCAGAGAAAATTTTCTCAAGATAAGAAGCTAGATTATTAATTCAATTTGAAGAAAAAGAGAAGAAATTTGAGACTTGAAAAAGGAGGAGAAATTGGAAATTAATGGATTCACAGAATAGATTGGTTAGTAAGAGTGCTGGCAAGTTATCATTCAAAAATGTAAAATAAGGCCAGTTAATAAGGTCACATTCAGCTACTTGTATGCAGTTATAGAGCAGGTAGAGTTTATTTAACAGGCTGCATTTTTCAGATACGTATGATGAGTGAAGGAATAAGCATTGGATTTGTAGCTGAATGTACAGAAACTATTATAATTAACCCCGAGAAATGGTCTAAGCCAGGTAAAATAGGAAATGAGACATGAGGGATTTATGACAATGAACAGTGCCATGGTCACTGAATTTGATATCCCAGTGAGCATCAAAGTAGAATCTGGACTGCAAAGAAAAAGGTTGGAGGTTAGAGAGCAAAAATCTAAAGCTGAGATAGTTGAGGAGATGTCCATAATGGTAAAGAAATTGTCCAGACTCTAATGAGCACCATCCAGTAGAATTTTCTGTGATAATGGAAATCTTACGTATTTGTGCTGTCCCGGTCCCTAGCTAATAGCCAGCCACCTGTGGGTTATCAAGCACTTGAAGTATGATTAGTGTGACTGAGAAAATTGATTTTTAATTTAAATTCATGTAAGTTTAAATCGTCACATTGGCTAGCAATTACAATAATGGACAGCATAGCTTTAATGCATGATCACCGTAGTGGGTGGTTGATTTGAGGGTGAGGTCAAGTTTATTGGAGGTAAATCCAGCACCTGAGAGCCCAGGGTATTGCAACTATCACCTACACGAATACTGAAATCACTGATAATCGTGACAGGAATGGAGGTGAACAAAGAGATCTAAGACAGTTGAAAAAATGGTAAAGAAATGAAGAGAAATGTCCTGGAATTTGGTAGATGATTGCAACAAGGTGTGTTATTTGATAGTGTAATCTGATAAACTGAGCTACAGAGATGCTGGAAATTTTTAAGAAGGAGTATAGACAACAATTTCTAAATAAAATTATCAACTAATTACAGATAATAATAGCATTTTAGGGTCATAATAAAGACAGTGTGTAGGAAGTATGGTCAGTCTTCTTTCTTACAGAAATAATTAGAAACCTAATGAGATTCTTCATCATTATTTTACCCAAGCATTATTTCATATAAGATAGTAAGGGTAGAGGGTGGGAAGGGATAGACTGGGATTTCAAAATTGTAGAATAGATAAACAAGATTACACTGTATAGCACAGGGAAATATACACAAAATGTTATGATAAATCACAGAGAAAAAAAAAAGAAAGAAATTTCTAAATAATCAAAAAAAAAGATAGTAAGACATTCAGTAATTTTTTAGGGAACTTTAAGGTATGTGAAAGAGTCAGGCAAGTGAAAATGAAAACATAATATGCAAAATTTGGTTAAAGTGAAAGACCAGAACAAAGACAGAAAAAAATCCTTGAGTTCTCATTTTTTGTAATCACCTATTTGATTTAACTTTTGCTCATACCAAAGATTTCTGCCTTCATCCAATTTACCTAGAATAGAAACATAAACATAAACTTATTACTCATTTCTGCACGTTTGGCAGTGGAGTTTAGCTGATTATGACTCCAGAGCTTCCACACATTTATTTTTTTTGGACTGAGCACATGATCAGTTTGAGGGGAAAAAAAAAACACTAACAAAAAATATATGTACATTTATGTATTTAGAGATTATGCAAAAATATTACTGAAGAATTATTATTATGTTGCATTTCTGTAGTCCATTGGAAATTCATCCCCACCCGTGAAGTGGTTGCAATTCATTCTGAGGACATTTGACTAAGATAATCTTCACACAGAGATGGACCTCGGGAGATTTTTAATCACTCCCCCAACCACCTGAAAACAAGAGCCCACACCACGTCCTCTTCCTGAGTGCAGTTACTTCATCTCCTCCTTACCCCAAAGGAAACCTTTACAAATGATTCCTTAGTCCATTTCCTCACGGAGAGCCCCTAAATATTTTGTGAGTTCCAGATTTGCTGCATTGCCCAATTACACAAAAATAGCAGCTTAAACAGCACTCATTTATTGTCTCCCAGCTCTGTAAGTTTAGAAGTCTGACATGGATCTCACTAGGGTAAAATTAAGGCGTAGCTGTGGCCCTTTTAGAATGCCCTGTGGGAGAAGCTGTTTCCTCTACTTTTCATCTTTCAGCGTTTATGCCCTGGCCCCTGGCACCCCTTCTCCATCTTCCCCCTGCAAGGCTGTATCTTTCTGACTTCTCTTTGTCATCACATCTGTCTCTGATCACATCGAAGAAAGATTTTCCACTTTCCTGTGATTAACTTGGGCCCACCCAGATGATGCAGGATAATTTCCTCATCTCAAAAATATGTAATCTTAATCACATTTGCAAAGTCCCTTTTGCCACATAAACTACCATAATTATAGGTCTAGGAATTAGGACATGGACATCTCTGAAGGACTGTTATTCTGCCCACCACAGGTTCTTAACAATTTACCTAAAAAAATTTTTTTTATTGAAGTATAGTCAGTTATAATGTGTCAATTTCTGTTGTACAGCATAATGCTTCAATCATACATATACATACAAATATTCATTTTCATATTTTTTCACTATTGATTACTACAAGACATTGAATATAGTTCCCTGTGATATAAAGAAATTTGTTTTTTTGATCTATTTCATATATAGTAGTTAATATTTGCAATTCTCGAACTCACACCTCTCACTTTCTCTGCAGAAAAACAGATCACCATTCTGTTCTTACAGAGGGGCCGTGGGATGTGTCTGGGGTCAGTTTGGTGCTGATAGAAAAGCTCCCAGCCTTGAAAAGAACATCCTGTTCCCAGGCCTGAAGATATTGAAACATTAATTAGGTAAATTTATAGTAGAGCTTTCTTCTGCCATGTCCGAAGAAGTGACCTACGCGACACTCACGTTTCAGGATTCTGTTGCAGCAGGAAGTAATTGGGATGGAAACAACCTAAGGAAAAGAGGTAGGAAAGCAAGATGTGACCTTGGAGAATGGACAGGTGTTAGATGCCCTGAAGTGCTGGCTTTGAGACCAATGCTAAAGAGAGATGTGGTGTGGACTCTCCAAAATGGAGACCAAGTTGGGGGATTTTTCAGTGGAGCGTGTTCCCTGTCCTTGAGGAGAAAGTATGTGATTTCTAGGACCTTTTAGAATGACGTGACACTGCTATGTCTCACGAAGCTTTTTGTGTTACGGTGAATTATTTTGACTGAATATCCTTCAATCAGAGATTGAGTTTGGAGACTAAGAGTTCTTTTTATAAATGTAGTCCTCGATATTTATACCTTTTCAGAGAAGGCAAGGGAATGTTCTTTTGGAAGCCAGTTGGGAGTCTCCTAAAACAGAGAAGGTGGAGGGACCTTTTTTTTTTTTGGAAGCTATAAATAACTGAAGAGAAAAATTGGAGGATGAGTGAGTTAGAAATCGATAGGTTCTAGTTTCTGTCTTATAAGTATTTGGAAACTTTTTTTTGAGGGAAGTTTAAGTTCTCAGTATAATTAGTCATGCTGAAGCAATAATAACAAAGTATCTGTGTAGTATTTTATATTATACCCTTATCAAAATATAATTGTGAAGTAAATGAAATAATTTACTTTCTCCAATGTATTAATGAGAAAACTGAGGCTGAAAGACATTAACTGATTTAACCAAGTTCATACAACTGTTGTGTGGTGGAGTCCAGACTCAGTCCTCATCTTTCACTCATTCCTTTGCACCAAATTAGAAGAAATAGCTGTCTCTGTGGTCGGGAATCCAGCTTCATACATGAGACTACACCCCTTGCCTTCAAGGACCTGTTGACACTGTAGGCTGTTGTCCTGGATCATCTAAAACGTCCCTCTTCTCTTTAGATTTATTTTTATTAGATAGATTTATTTTGTTAAAATAAATCTTTATTAAAAGCACATGTGTGTATGTGGTTTAGGGGGCTAAAATACAAAAAGAAAACAGGAGTAGACTTTGCATGTGATTGTACATTTTTGTTTTGTTTTGTTTTAAAAAGTCTAATCCTTGAGAAAAAGGGAGTTGTGACTGTGGTACATAGGGCAGGGCACCTGGAGATGGTATTCCCATCTCTCTGAAACACTGGGCTAAATGCCACTAGATCCAGAATTAAGGAATAGGAAAGAGAGTTAAATATGAAAAGCATTATATATAGATAGATAGATATAAATAAACATATATATATATATCTATATATAATATATAATTTATGTATAGAGATAAAATACATATAAATGAATAAATATATAAAAATTGCTAAATTTTGAAGCATTATCCTCTGGCTTTTTGCTCTGTTTTGCTCTTTGTAGATTAGATTGCACATTCATTCATTCTTTCATTCAGTATTAATTCCTCATCCACGAGATGAAAAAATAAAATACATGATAGATAAAAGCAGAATTCACAAAACACCTGCCTTGTGGAGGTTTGTAATGTCAACAACGTGGTGTCTCTGCCATAGTCAGGATCATCCAGAGGAGAAGTTCCACAGCATCTCATTCATGAATTCAGGAATCTTGAAGAAGAAAGGTGTGTGGTGATGCAAAGCCAAGCCCCCCAAATTATGAGACTCTTGCTCTTCAAAGACTGGAGAATGGCGGAGAAAATAAATGGAGGACCTCTATGGTGGGGCCCTTTCTCTGCACTATGTTTAGTGTTTTCTCGGTAGGAGAACTGAAGAAGCAAGAGACGAATTTTAGTATCAGGAAGCTTACTAACTAGGAAAATAAACAACGCAAAGTGTAACAACCAGAAGGCATTTCTGTTTGCTAATCCTCCTGCTGGCTTTTTTTCAGGGTATCCAGCTCCATCCCCCGTATGGCGTCAGGCTGCCCTGGGTCTGCTAGCGCTTTGTCTGATGCTGCTGATTGGGTTGGTGACCTTGGGGATCATGTGTAAGTGTGCTGGCATCAAACCCAAGACGGGAGACCGGGAAGCATATTTGTAAGCTATATGATGGGTGCTGGCCTCCTGAACCCTCAGTACCTTCTGCCCCCTCTTACATCTCTCATCCTCCATGTCTCCAAGGTAAACCTGGGAGGGACATACTTTATCATTTTGAGGATTTTGCCCTAAATACTTGGTTTTCTCTTGACAAACTAGACTGGACTATGAAGACAACTTTTATTTTTCTAGTTATCAGTTGGAATCAAGAACCTCCTTTCTTCCCAGGCACACATCCACTTACTATCCTGATGCTGAGAAACAAGGAGTTGAGGGAGGTGGCTTCAAAGAAGGGCGTGCCATTGCATTTACCTCTAAGACTTGATCCTAGACTGGCTTAATCTGCTCACCCAAGACCTTTCTAGCGTAGAGAAAACTTCTAAGCAGCAGCTACAGATTGACTGCCATGAAGGAAAAAGAGATACAAACAAGGAGGAAGTACTGCCTGATCCCACCTCACTCAGTCAATAGAAAGCTGACACACCTCCATATGATAATGGAAGTCCACTCTCAAGCACCATAGCCAAAAAATATATATATTCTCTGGATTCTGACCCATCATTGGGCAGTCAGAGGTGGATAGGACAGGGAGTCTGAGACTAACAGTAGGTGGAGAAAAATCCTGAGAATACACACTTTTTAGGTTGCTGGTAAGTATATGAGGTACAGAATAGCGAGTTGGTACAACATTCACTTTCAGGGAACTTGAATCAAGAAAGTTTATTTGCTGAGTGACATTAACACCTCCTCTGCTAAATTTCATTTTTTAAAATGTATTTAAGATCTCATGGACAGTTAGGATTTTCTAAATTGAAGCACAGTTGACTTACAATGTTATGTTATTCTCTGGTGTACAGCACAGCAGTTCAGTTATACATAGACATTCTTTTTCATTATAGGTTATTACAGGCTATTGAACATAGCTCCCTGTGCTCTACAGTAGGACCCTGTTGTTTATCTATTCTGTATATTGTAGTTTGTATCTGCTAATTCCAAACTCCCAGATAATTAGGATTTATACATACTTAATTTGGACCCAAAGAGGCTAATGATGCAACTTACTCTTTTGAAAAGAAATAAGATCTTCTAGCAGCAATAACAGATATTCAGTAGCCAATCACTATGAGGATGAGTAATTGATTTTCTACAGTGATGTATATTTAAAAGAGTGAATGAAGATACAATAATATATATCCATTGGCTCACCATAGAAGGGTGAACACTTTTTTTTCCTAAAGTGCAGTACTTTTAGTGCGGTGGTTATTAAATTTATTGTACTGGCGAATCATTTAAAGTACTTATTAAAAATGCAGATTTTATTAATTTAGGACCAGACATGGTCTAGTAGGGCATTAAAATTTGCTTTTTTTTTTAATACCCGAGGTAATTCTGGTGCAGGTAATCTGCAGACCATACTTTGAGATACTCATTGCCCCAAAGAATTCTGTTCCTATTAAAACAATTACAGGGGGAGGGAAATAGCTCAGTGGTAGAGCACATGCTTAGCATGCACGAGGTCCTGGGTTCAAGCCTGAGTGCCTCCGTTAAAAAACCAAAAATAAAAAGCAATAATTACATTAATGAACTCCAAAAAGAAAAGAAAAACTCCACCAATATGAAAGGAAAAATGACTGGCGTTGCCTTATGTGAAACTTTCACTGATAAATAATTATTAATTCATTATTTTAACACAAGTACAATTGTAATTAAGATGTAAATACAATAATAAAGATGAATACTAAACAATGTGAAATAGAAAATCAAGTGCGTTCCCTCCATGATAGCGGGATTATTAGGAGCGACTAGTAAACCTTACAAATTCTAAGCAATATTTTCTGAGATGTGAGTTTGTTTCCTGCCATGTCTTGGAGTTTTGCAGACATCAAATGAATTTAACTCAGATTCAGAGAAACTGAGTCAGCTTCAGAAGGTCATCCACGAACAGCAGGATAACTTATCCCAGCAGCTGAGCAACCACAGGAGCTTCCCCACGGAGGAAGCATCTCTCCAGTCACAGATCTCCAGCCTGTTGAAGAGGCAGGGACAAATGGCCATCAAACTCTGCCAAGAGCTAATCACTCACACTTCAGGTAATCAGGACCTGGGGACCAATCAGATCAAAGCTGTTGCTCCGGTCTAGGCTGATTACGTACGTGCACCACCTTGGAGCGTGAAAGACTGTGTTACCAATGACTTTTAAAAGAATTAATTAATTAATTATTTATTTATAACACCTTTATTGTGGCATGGTTCCTGTACAGTAAACTACACAGATTTCAGACATACGATTGGATGAATTTTGATAGACACACCAAAGAAACCACCACCACAATCAAGGTAGCTAACATTTCCATCACTCCCCGAGAGGTGCAGATTTCAAAATTTGCACCAATGACTTCTAACGATGCTGTGCTGAATTTACAGAAGACAAGGGAAGATGCGAAATCCTTTCACATTTCTGAGAACACAGAGGCAAATTTGGTACGCGTCTTGGGGTGATACCAGCCTGGATACTTCCGCCCCTCATTTTATGAATTATTTTTAGGTGATCCTGTTGTTATAAGAAGTTAAAAGTGTAGCTAGTAATTCTGAGGCCAGAAAACTGAGCCTTGGTTAGGGAGTTCCAGTCACCATTGTTCCAAAGTGTCATCGGGGTGACTCTCTTTTCAGAGGCTCCCAAAGCAATATGTTTCCAGGGTGGTGGCTTTGAGGTTCTATCGTCCAATTAAATGATTTGCTTTCCAGTCCCCGGCCATTCCAGAGTGGTTCAGTTTGTGCTATTGGGTGCATTTCTCTTTCAGACCATAAATGTAATCCTTGTCCTAAGACGTGGCAGTGGTACCAAAGCAGCTGCTATTATTTTGCAACAAATGAGGAGAAAACCTGGCTCAACAGCAGAAAAAACTGCGTGGACAAGAACGCCACGTTGGTGAAGATAGACAGCTTGGAGGAAAAGGTCTGGTTGACTGTCCTGCCCTGGTTATGGAAATTACCCATACGATGCACAGCAAATGAGTGGAACTTCTGATTCACATAGTAGGAATTCAGTACATTCTGAGTAAGAACGAATATAGGAATTCGATGAAGGTTCCCATCTCTCTTACTCCTGCAACCTGGAATGTAGCTCTCATGTTACATTTTTTCCTGTGTCTCTCTCAGGATTTTCTGAAGTCACAGCCAATACCTAAGTTTCCTTTCTTCTGGTTGGGATTGTCATGGGATCCATCTGGCAGACGTTGGCTCTGGGAGGACGGCTCTGTCCCCACTCCATCCTTGTAAGTCTCTAACTATTGGGGAAATAAACAAGCTAAGGATGCTGGGAAATGGAAGGCTCAGAAAGTAAATATTCATTTAATTATAAGTCTAGATACAAAAAAGACTACAACCTACAAAGAAAAGATATGGAAAGGAAGATTACCTGGAAGGGCTTTCCAGTGCGGAATAAACTCATGGCAAGACACGGAACACCATCTATTAGTTTAAATTTCTTTATTTAACAAGCGCATGTAACACTTACTATTTTCAAAGTACTTTATAAATATCAGCTCTATGATGAAAGCACTGTTATATTCCTATTTTATAGATAAAAACGGTATCTGAGGGAGATTAAATAACTTGCCTGAGGTCACTTAGCTCATAGTGGCAATTTCAGGTCTGAGCCCAGCCTCCCAGCCCTCAGGTCTCTCCAGCATTTACAATTCAGAAGGGTGGTGTTTATCATAAGAACATACATTAGCATTTTCATTCAAATTGAAATAACTCTAACAGAAAGGAAGTCTGAACAGATTAGTTTAACAATTAATTTTGTGGTGGGAATTTGCCAATTAGATTATACGGCAAATGGTTTTCATGAATTAAAATGAGCTAAACCCGCCACGTCAAGGTTTTGGTGAAAATCTTTAAAGCACATACAGAGTACATAATACTTGGAAAATTATATTTTTGGAAGCTATTTGAAGTTATGAAAAAAATTTATTGGGGAACATAGCATTGCAAAGTTCTTTTAACTATAAAATCAAATATTTTCAGGAACACCCCTCATCACAAATATATTAAGAAAATACAATTATACTCATAATTTAATATAATGCATGGTATTTTTATATTAGATGAAATTTAAGAGCACTGGCATCTTTCTTGGTGTAGCAGATTTTTCTCTACCTCCCTACCCCATCAAGTTATTAATCCATTCAACTCACTCCTGTTTTGCTTTGCAATGCATGTTGTTGAAGTTTCCTTAATTATAATGGCTCATTTTCTGTCATACTGTGCTTCAGCTGGGACTCAGCAAATTCCTTGAATAGCAATGACACGTCTATACTTTTTCTCCATAAGTACGCTTTATCTTCATCCATTTCCCAAAGCCTTTTCATGGATTTTTCTGCTCAACACCCATCTCCTACTTTTTAAAAAAAGAATGTTTAATTTTAATGGAGGTACTGGTGGTTGAACCCAGGACCTCATGCATGCTAAGCACATGCTGTACCCCTGAGCTACACCCTCCTCCCCTCCAATCTCTCACCTTTTAAAACCACATCTAACATGGTCATTCATTTCCTCCTAACCTCTGCCTTACTCTCTTTTCACCCACTGTGTATGTATAAATATACACGAAATTATATTTTTTCACCTAGTAAAATGTAATAAATTTTTACAGAGTGTGATTTTATTTTTTCTGTTTTTCTTCATAGAGTTCCAGAGTAAAGAAACTCTAGTAATTTTAATATCACCTGCATTGGGTAGTTTCTACCATGTTAGTAGAGAGAATACAAATTCTCAACTCCAAATTTCGACTTTCTTCTTAAATGCTTCCATCTGGTATCAGGGTTAATTTGAAATAAAAAACTCAGACGTGCCAGCTTGAGGTGTCTTGACGGGTGGCGGCAGCAGAAATCTCTCCACATTCGGATATATAGATACTTGGTTGTCAGGGGAACTGAGAACGCTGAGGTATGATCAATTTCAAATGCGACACCCGTAATTAATTTAAAATTGATTAATTTTCAGATTTAGTGCTAATGAATATGCCCAGGTCAATGGATCCAAAGGATGTGCCTATTTTCAAAAAGGAAGTATTTATATTTCCCGCTGTAGCGCTGAAATTTCTTGGATTTGTGAGAAGACGGCTGCATCAGTGAAGATTGGAGATTTGGATGAATAAGTACTCCAAATTCACCACGAAGTAAGGGGTTTGGGATCAAGCTTATGTGAGGAAGGACCAAAACTACACCATGAGAGCAAAAAACAGATGAAAAAGTAACTATGTATTTGAACTCTCAGGCAAATAAACTTGCTTCGCAGAACATTCTCTGCTTCCTCGTCTGATGCCTTCTGATCTGACGTGCTTGCTTAAAATCACTGAGAGCCTACAGGAACAGCTGTTCTGTGGCTTTACTGCTCTGTCTCAGACTCGTTTCACTGAATTTCCTCTCCCCACAAATAACGACTTTTCTTGCTTTATTGTTACGAATGCACAAGTGCACAGGGTGATGTGTCAATACTTAACAGCCAGAACTAACACAGGCCACAGCACTGGGACAAGGTCCAGAAGATCCTGTTGTGATCGTTGCTGGATCATGTAGAGAGCTGGGGGGTCTTGGGATGGCAGCGCTATACCAAATTTGGAAATGTGTTAGTGTCTTAGCAGACGGTTCACCTGGACCACCGGGTACCAGCTAAGTGTCAGCCTGCCTGAGCGAAGGAACTCCTCCTCCCCCAGCTCCCTATGAAAATACATCTTTTACTAATCTTTAAAATTTAGAAAATTTGTAGTCTAGGTGAAATAGCACATCATTTAGTGTGAAAATTCTCATTTATTTAAATTAGTAACATTAGGTTTATTGACTTGCTAATCTGGATATTAGTGTTAGTTATTCCCTAATAACTGGGATTTTATGTCCTTCAGACAAGCCCTAATAGATTGCTCTGACATTATAATATTAGAACCATGATGTTTTAGTTTTTTAGAACTTTTCTTTAACGTAGTTTGTCAGTGTCCCTGCATGTTAGGTGCTGAACATTACAGAGTTCAAGAGTTCTTCGGAAATGAAATTGCTAATTTGAGAATATTGGTTAAATATATGGTTTTCATCATCTCCTCATACAATTTTACAGTTATGTATAAGGTAAAGGGGATGGTAAACTAACTTGTGACACTGATTTGGCTAGACTAGAGATCAAGAATTTACTGGAAAAACTGATATGATCTAAGTTCAAAGCTAGCTGCATTTCAGAATACTTCGATATTTCTTTGAAGGAACATCTTTATGCATATATCTAGTAGCCTGTGACTCTTGAAAGGTTTAAAAATCGTGGGCTAATCAACATTTTATATATGTACCAACAGAAAGTCTAGAACAAAGAATGTAAAGTCTGATGTGAAAATTTAATAAGAATTACGAATGATATATTTAAGCACAGATTTTTAAATGTAGACAACTATTTTATCATAGTCCAAACGAACTGGCTTGACTGATTCTTATACAGGACTGAAATACAAGTTACATACACGTGAATCTAAAAAGCAACTTAAGTTTTCATTTTTCTTTAGTAGCTTACTGTCATTGTCATTCTCACAAAGATAAAACTATTTATTGAAGGTCAAGAACTCTGCAGCTGACTCCTACACATTGGGTTTTTTCTTTATTGCCATGGAAAATATAATTTCTTCTTTTCCCCTCTCTACTTCTAAGCATAGAATTATCCGCTATTAATAATTAAAATATCTTTGTTGGTTATTTTGTTCCCTAAAAGAAGTTACAGGGTTTTTTCCTGGAATCTTGTATCCTTTAATTCTTATCTCATGGACACTCATTTTCACAGTCACAAAAAAAAACTATTTCTATCTGACCTATTTGGAGTGGCTCTGGAGTTTGATCAGAGCCTGGTGTTTGTAGACCTCTCCCCGCCGCCCTGCCGTTGCCTTGTTATCCCTGGCAGCCCCTCCAGTGGGTGTGTAAATCCGAAGGTCTTCTTGAGGACGTATCAACCTCTTATGTCAGAGTAATTCATCCCTCCTTACTTTGTGATGACTTGGCTTATGAGACATGGTGTATCCCACGAATTTCAATCTCTCTCTGGTCAAAATTCCTGGGAGATATTATACATACACACACGTCCTGTCAAAATTCCTAGGGAAAAGTCAAGTTTTGTATGTATCTTAGATAACTTTTCTTTCTTCATTGATTATTTGTATGGTTTCCAAAACTGCCTTCACATAAGAGTTACATGGATAGTCTCCTTAAAAGTACAGATTCCTGGGCCATGTCTCAGATCTATTGGCTCAGAATGATTGGAGAATCTGTTGGTGCCACAAACTCCACAGGTGATTCTTATTAACTCAGCCCACGTATTTGGCTGTGTTTGGATGGATAATCTCAATACCAATTTCCTGAGCAAATATGTCCAGCAGTGCTGGAATTATTTTCAAATTGGATGGCTCTTTCTTTTTTTTTTTCCTTTGTTATTATTTATTGTTTTCTAGCTTTATTGAGATATAATTGACATATAACATGATACAAGTTTAACTTGTACAACATAATAATTTGATATATGTATACACTGTGAAACAGTTTCTACAATAAGTTAACACATCCATTAACTCACTGGATGGCTCTTTCTGCAATGTTAGCAAAATGAGTTTGATTTGGGCAGGCCAAATTAGGTTAAGGTAGGTCAAAATTGGAATGGAAGTAATTACAAATGTAGGCTATTTCATTTTTGTGACCTTGGCCAACATCTCTTTAGTGAGGAGATTGATTGGGACGGTCATGATGGGCAGGTGATTTGATCTGTCAACTCAAGGCTGCGAGTATCAAAGAACCAAGGGAACATGACATCACCAAAGAAACAAAGTAAAGCATCAGTAATCAACTCTAAAGAACAGAGCTTCCAAACCGCCCAACAAAGAAGCCGGAAGGGACAGGGGATACTTTTTAACCATACTGTACTTGGTGAAGAAAGTATCTCATGCAGAAATTGGTTTTTGGAAAATGTTTGATTGACAGAACCTATTCTGTTCATTGATCCTGTTCAGGTGAGCTGTCATTATCTTTGCAGACCCTCCCTTTAATCATCTTCCCATAAATTTGTCAACTGCAGTCTGGGGTTCCTGCTCTGGTACCAGCCCTTGCGGATTTTTTACTCCTGGGCCTCTCTGCTCCAGCAAGCTGTTATTCTCCATTTCTTCTTGTCTGTCTCTTCAGTTTATGGGGCAGTGGTTTGCCCTATAAGCTTAGTTCTCTGATGAATCTAAGAAGGGTTGTAGCTTTAGTTTTTTTTTTTTTCTCTTGTGTGGATGGGAGTGATCATTTTCAGCCTCCTTACATGCCAGACTAAAAGCCACAGGTGCATTATTTATTATATAATCTTAGGCATAATAGTTTCTGCAATTAGAACATGCTTATTTATTTAATGGATGGATAATGAATAAATGAGTACAGTGAGAGTTTAGTAAAAAGGAAGCAACTACAGTCATGATGTGACGAATGTTTTTATTCCCTTAGAAATATAAAATGGATCAAGAAAATAATTGTTTTTTTTTTTAATAAAGAGGATTTCCTAGGAAATAGAGTCTGAAACTCTAAGACTTCTGTGTAGAAGCTTTTGATGATAAATGCTCTTGAGGGTGAGGGAAGCAACACTGGATAAAGGTAGTTGTTCATCCATACAGTGCAGTTGCAACAGAGGCCTCAGCCAATCCTGTGGGGAACTCCGGAGCTAGGCTGGTCCTTCAAAGTTGCACTTCTTGAAGCCAGAAGGCTGAGCTTTATACCCCAGTTTGTCACCTTGCTGAGCCATTTGTCTAGGCTGTCCCTGCGAGGGGTGACTCCCTTGGACAGAGAGCAATTCCAAGAACAAGAGTCAGCTGAGAGAAGTCAGTAGCCAACATTCTCAGTCGCTTTGGAGGTGACCACATCAGTCTTGAAGGGAGTGTCTGGGCAGCAAGCCAGAATATCCGCTGCAATCCACTATTGTGCTGCTTGGATCTGCTTGGTTAATGTAAAAATGTGCCATGATCACCCCCTCCAGTATTCTATTCAGTTTCTTTTCTTGGTGAAACTCACCAAAGCAAGATTAGTGGGACAAACTATGCTCCTCATCATTGCAACTGGTCTTGAAGTTGCACTAATTTCCATCACCTCCCTCCTCCACTACTCACTGTAGATTCCACTCACCCTTGGCTACATCCTCAGCTAGACTATTTTACCTAGTAGGGTGACCAAGGTACCCATCACTAAGGAGTCTAAGCCCCTGGTTGCAATAACTCATTTCAACTAAACTTATCTATTAGCTGTCGACATTTAGCAGGGGACCATCAAGAGACATCCTAATGGGCCACCTTGGTGCCAAACACGTGCTTCACTTTCCCTCTTATGCAACAACAGCCCTACATTCTCCTGATAATCAGGTTTAATTAACCCTGTCAAGATTGCGACCCTTTTTTTTTTCCCCTGCTGGGATCCTGGCATAAGAAGCCCAGAGTAGCAGCTGTAGCTTAAAATTTAGTGAGCTTCTCACTGTGATGCTGGAGGAAACCAGGGCTGCTAGACCGGCAGATCCTAAAATTGTGATGACATAGTACAGATTCCCCAAATCAACGGTAATATGGCAAACAGGGCCACTCACATGTCCATCTCTGGTGCCCAGACCTGTATATTCTACTTCCTGGGACACAGAACCACATAACCATTGCTGATTTAGAATGCATTCTGTTAGTCAGATAATTGTGCACTTCAAATAATAATCTCTGGAGACTCTCCAAAACTATTGAGAAAGGAATTTTTTTTCTGAGTAAATAACATTAATAGTCATAAAAGCAATAATTATATTTTTAACCAGTTGTGATGGTTAATTTTAAGTATCAAATTGATTGCACCATGAGGTGCCCAGACATTTTGTCAGACATTATTCTGGGTGTGTCTGAATGAGATTGTTTTAATTGGTACAATGTGTAAAGCAATCTTGCCTACCTTAATGTGGGCAGGCCCCAACCAATCAGTTGAAGATCTGAATATTTTTATTTTAAAGGCTGAGTGAAAGCAACTTCTCCTGCCTGACTGTTGAGCTGGAACTTCAGCCATTTCTTACCCTTGAACGGGAGCTCCCCCGTCACCTCTCCTAGGTCTCCAGCTTGCAGCTGCGTAGCTTGGGACTTTTCAGCCTCCGTCGTCACGTGAACCAATTCCTGGTATTAAATCTATATGTCTTAGATTTGAGCCAGTTTACAGACCTAGAATGAAACAGAAGCTGAGTCCCCATAAGGAAGGAGTCTGATACACTGTCAAAAACTTAGACTTTTCATCT